TCTATGTCCCATAGTGGTATATATTTCTGATAGTATCATGTATCTTTTCATAAGCAAACAGAATTCCTCACCCTTGGGATTACTTAATAAATGAACAAGACAGGTCCAATTTATTGATATGCAAAGCAAAAATCTAAATAGAATTCTTCATTCCTCATCCCAGAACAACATACACAAGCCAATTGCTGTTCTGTGCCTATGTTTCAAGCAGGCTGATCCCTCACAGATGGGATGCTTCTGTAGCTTGTGCTGCAAGTGTTAACAACACCTAAGACTGCCATGTCAAACAGCTGCTTCATCTAATTCCACGATGGGAAGAGCTGCTGCTGTGTTGTGCACTGAGCAGTGTTAAAATGAGTAAATCCCTTGATAAAGATGGTTAGATGTTGAAAGAATTCACCGATGTGTTCAGCAATGACAATTCAAAGGAGCTAAACAATATGTGGTCCCAAAGGAAAACATTTCACCCTAAATCACCTCCTCTCCTATGGGTTTGGTCCATTTAGTATACTGGTAGAGAAGTATGGATAAAGCATAAATCCTCTTTATTATCAACAAAGCTGAAATTGCCAGGACACGCTGCCTTAGCAGTGTGAGGAAAACCCTCAGGGATGATTCACACCCTGGTCAGCACTTCTTTACTCTCCTACCATTGGGCAGGAGATATAGAAGCATAGCCAGCCGAATGAATAGGCTAAAAAATAGCTTTTATCCTTGGGCTGTCAGTCTTCTGAATGCAACATAAGACCATAACTGGGTTAAATATGATAGACTTGCAGGGTCAGTGCAACGTGCAACATGTTCATACCAGTGTAATATAGTATAATGTTATCAGAGGTGGGTAATCACATAATCTTAGCAACGGTTTTCTGCGCACTGAAAATGTGCATGTGCTTTGCTCGCATGCACTGCTTGCGTACATGCGCATTACTTAGAAAATGTGCCTAAATAGGACGGCGTAGCAGGCCTACCCACAGGTCGCCACTACCGGTTCACACGAACTGGCCCGAACTGGCTAAATACCACCTCTGAATGTTATATACATATATGTATATGGGAATGTGTGTTAGGTATTACTTATTTGGGTTTAGGGATTTCCTTTTCTTTTATTTGAATTTATTCTGAGTTATTGAGATGTATTCTGTGGTGTGTTTTTTTTTGGGTGGGGGCTGCACCAAGGGAGGCTTATTCAATCTCATTGTACACATGTTGTGCATTGACAATAAAGGTTTGATTTGATCTGATTTGAAATAAGGAGAAATGTTCTGACAGTGAGAACAGTCAATGGAATAGCTTGCCTCCTGGAGTCGCGGGTGCTCTATCACTGGAGGTTTTCAAAAATAGATTGGACAACCACTTGACTGGGATGGTATAAGGTAGTGATGGCTAACCTTTTTGCCGTCGCATGCCAAAAGCGGGGGAAGCGGGGGGGAGCACGTGCACACGTGCCCACACCCATAATTCAATGTGCCCTCCCCCCCACACACGCGTGTGTGACCCCCACATGCTTCCCCTGCTTTTCGCATGCAATGGCACGTTGGGCCCAGTAGGCCCTTTTTTCACACTCCCCAGGCTCCAGAGGCTTTCTTGGAGCCTAGGGAGAGTGAAAACAGCCTTCCCCACACCCATGGAGGCTCTCCAGAGGCCAGAAACAGTACATTTCCCGACTTCCAGTAGGCCCAGAAGGCCCGAAAATCAGCTGGCCGGCGCATGCATGCATGCTGGAGCTGAGCTAAAGCAACGCTCGTGTGCCCACAGATATGGCTTCGCATGCCATAGGTTCGCCATCACGGGTATAAGGTCTCCTACCTTGAGCAAGGGTTCGGACTATACAATTCCTGAGGTCCCTTCCGGTCCTGTGATTCTATGTTCTATGTTCTAAATCTCATCAGAACAAATTCTTAAGAAGCACCCTAAAAATAGGATTAAAAAAAAACCAAAAGTCTCTTTTGCATGAGAAGAAACATTTGAGAAAGGTAGCTGAAAATTTCAAGGTTATATATAGTTCTCCTCCACAGATTTCAATTCCTGTGCAATGCAATCCCCCAAACAACAGAAAGTGAAAGTCAGGGGGGAAAAGGAGCAACATTTGGAGTAAATAAATGGATGGCCAAGTGGCCTAGAAAAGAGATAAGTGACTCTGAACTGGAAAAAAAAAGTGAGAGGGGAGGGAGGCTGGCAGAAAATGATCTCCAGAAATGATGGGGGAAATGACTGGGAAGATGTCAAAACATCCTTCCCTAGCTTTACATGGATAGATTTATTATTATTTTTTTCAAGAAAATCTATCAGCTGCATGAATTTCAGTTTGTTTTGTTAGAGCTGCCACTAACAATTACTTGCTTGAGTTGAGATGACCCCACTCTCTCTTGGGTAAGTGATATATGTCTAAATCAGACCCATTTTGCCTGGTCATGAAGCATCATGAACTTTTATCATCCTATCTCTGTATACCAAATTGAGCACCCTCAGGATAAATGCTTCGGGGATCTCTAGTCAAAGCAATGAAATTTGCAGTTTCACCAGCACTAAATTCTGCTATAAGTCAAATTCAGTTAGAAAACAAATCAGCAAAGCTTTTCTTTTTTTTTCCTTAGGCAGTTGAAGACTGAACATTCCAGTTATGGATGTACTAGCTCTAAGAACTTCAATTTCCTCTTTAGGTATTATGTTTTGAGTTAAAAAAAAAAAAAAAGAGCCTTGGTAGTACAGAGGTTTAAGGCACCTTGTTATTAAGCTTATTAAGACCAGCTGCCTGCAATTACTGCAGGGTTCGAATCTCGCCAAGGCTCAAGGTTGACTCAGCCTTCCATCCTTTCTAAGGTAGGTGAAATGAGGACCCAGTTTGTGGGGGCAATAAGCTGACTTTGTATAAATATACAAAAGGATGAAGGCTATTGCTGAGCACATTGTAAGCCGCCCTGAGTCTTCGGAGAAGGGCGGCATATAAATCAAATTAAAAAAATAATAATAATAAAAATTAAAAAAAAAAAGTAACTGAAAGCCAAGTACTATCTCCGCTGTGTTGCATTTTTTGGCTACTACTGGGACTTCAAGAGAGGAGGAGGGGGGGAGGGGAGGAAGAGAAGGGGGTAGGAGGAGGAAATGTCACAAAATCCCTACTGAGCAGGATAGGCTCATTCTATCTTAACCTGTCATGGAAAGACTTTTGTGATTCTTTAAGATGACTGATGAATATCACTTTCTAGTCTCTCCCTCTCCCTCTCCCTCTCCCTCTCCCTCTCCCTCTCTCCCTCCCTCCCTCTCTCTCTCTCTCTCTCTCTCTCTCTCTGTCTCTCTCTCTGTGTGTGTGTGTGTGTGTGTGTGTGTGTGTGTGTTACACATACAGACTAACAGAGTTGGAAGGGACATTGTAAGCCATCTAGTCCAAACCCCCACCCCACCCAAGCAGGAGACCCTACACCATTTCTGATCGATGGCAATGCAGTCTCTTCTCGAAAGCCTCCTACAGCTTCTGAAGGCAAGCTGTTCCATTGGTTGATTGCTCTCACTGTCAGAAAATTTTTCCTTATATATAGGTTGAATCTCTCTTTGATCAGTTTCCATCCATTATTCCTTGTCTGAAAGGAATAATGCTTTGGAAAACAAATTGACACCCTCCTCTCTGTGACAGCTCCTCAAATATTGGAACACTGCTATCATGCCTCCCCTGATCCTTTGCTTCACTAGAGTACCCATGCCCAGTTCCTGCAACCATTCTTCATATGATTTAGCCTCCAGTCCTCTAATCATCTTTGTTAGAGTGCACCTCACCTGAACTGGAAAGAAAATGCTTTAACTAAATCCAGATAAGAGATCCCAAAAAATACATGGATACCAAGCATTGGGAATGGGAATGGAAGAGGTATTGTATGCTATTCTTCAATTCTTCAATTGAAGAATTCAATTGTATGCTATTCTTCAATTCTTCATACTCCGTGCATTCAATCAAAAGAATGCACGGAGTATGTGGAACAAAGAAGCAGAATCGTAAGTCCTTATTTATTCTATTTATTAATTTTTTATGCCTCCTTTACAAGATGACTCTGGCAGCTTACAACAGGAAGGATGTTATGATTTAATAGGCATTTCTAAAACTTGGTAGGACCTATTTGAGACTGGTTAATTTTAATACAAAAAGCTCAGCTTTTCCCCCAAATCAAGTGCGGTCTTCCAAATATATTAGCTGTTTCTCTTCAAAATTACAAGTGATATAGTATTGTGATGGAATGTGTACCTCCAGCAGCAAAAGGAGAGGATTTGGCCAACACCAATGCAGAGAATTTGCTGTATGTTCATTGGGTACAGGTTCAATCCCTGAGCTTTATCTCCAGACAAAACTGTAAATCTGAAACATTGGATAGCCTTGACAATCAGTGTAAACAAGCCTAGTGGACCAACTCCCTGAATTATTATAAGGCACTTTGTGTGTTTCCCTCTCCTAATTTTCCATTTCCTCCCAGACTATTCCTTAGCTTTCTCAAAGGTACTTTTTCAAAAGGCAACTGGACTATGTTTTTCCTTGAGGAAGAAGACATTTCCAGTCATCAGTCATTCCTTACTTTTCTTTACTGAGCCATTGGTTCATATACAGTACCTGCAGAATAATCCGAGCAGATAAAATGGACAGAATTCAACAGTGATTAATTTTTGTAATGGTGTTGGGGCAAAATGAGGGCTGGACTGGTTATAAAATAAGGGAAAAGCCCATTACGTAGGTTGAAGAGCCGTTATGGGTGCTGTGGTGGATTGAAGGGATGCAGTTGCTGTTTAAATGGGGAGAGCATAATATTGTGGGGTGTGATGAAATTTGCATCTGGAGAATGGGAGATGGGGGTTGGTAACACAGAGCCAATTCTCTTCACAGAGAGAGGCCCAAATGAAGAGACTGAACAATCCTCAGCTGGATAGGGAAGGGGAGGGGAAGAGGTTCAAAGCAACCACACCCTAGAATCTCTTGGCGATACTATATGTCTAGTATTTAGAAAGTTACAACTTAGTTTGACAAGATTCTGTTTATTAGATGTAAACAAATAAAGGATTGCATAGGAGAAGGAATGGCAGAACCTGGGGGTAGGGTGAAAATGGGGATTAATCTTGAATCCCTACATAGCCACAGTTAAACTAAAGCCACCCTCCCCCCTTGAATGCCATTGATCTTTATCTAAATCTAGCCAGGTGCTGACCGTTAGCTGAGAAGATTCCTGTGCATAGGCTTTTAGCAATAAATCAGTTTAATTGAATCTCCACGTGCGGATCTGGTCTTTCGTGCTTGACAGATTGGTCTCTGCTTGCATTTCACTGTCTGGGCGTGGGCCTGATAAATAAAGAGCAAATGAAATAAATATAATAAGAATTGTTTGACTACAACTACTAGCATACACACAGAACAAATACATCTCTAAAGACTTTTTTCCATGGAAAAAGCTAAAATATTTCTGACACCTCATATACATCTTCATTACCCAACCCTGGAAACTCTTCCTTTATTTTTGCTTCAGAAAAGTGCTGTTCATCTTGGCTAATAAATCTCCTCTATGTTTCATAAATGGTAATAATATATTGCAGATTATCCTTACAAGAGGCTGAATGTGTCCTGAATGATCTTTAAACCCCCTCTCTAATTTTCATTAGTGGACCAGTCACTGGCTTTCGAAGCAAGATCTGCCATAGTAATGATTTATCACACTAAGCTTGAATGATTATCATTTACAGAGAATGACCACACAATAAAAAAAAATGTAGGATTTAAACCAAGGAAAAAAAGTCAAGGATTTTCAGGAAGTGCATAGAAAGAAAATACTGTAGATCTTTCTGTGCAAATCCGCTTAGGAGCAGCCTTATGATTTTGGCATAAAATCCAGCAGATAGAAATGGCCTGCACAGGATCTTCTTGGATGAGGCTTCAAAGAATAACATAAGGAACAGCAGTGTGTATATGTTTGTGTCAGGATTTTGGCGAAAATAATAATTACACTGCTTGCAATAGCTAAACAACAAAAGACAAAAACCCTTTAATTTCACATTTAGTCCACATCACAAAGGAGAACGTGTCCACTTATTCATCCTAGCAGAGTCGGATGAATGTAGCTTTAATTGGGAAGTACTACAACATTTGGCTACATAGAAAAAATATGGTCATTATTTAGAGAAGGTTGAAGGGATGTTACCTTTATCCTTGCATTATAATCTGAACCACATAGAATTGTTATTCAGGAGAAAATAATTTCAACAGTTGTCCAGTTTGGAAACTGGGAAAAAAGATGCCAGACAATGTTGATTATGCTTTTCTCCCCATCTCATAATCTGGAATATATGGTCATCCAGTAAATGAAATAATTTAATATTTTCAAGCATTGTCTTTCTTTGTGAAATGCATTTCTACCTTATTCTACTCCTATTCAGCCAGAAAAGGTATCTAACATACTGAAAATATCTTAACCCCAAATCAATGAATGCCCCTTTCTAGTGGTTTTATGTGGAAGTTAAACAGGGTAGAGGGGTGAGCACTAAGAGGCCCAATAATGGAGTGCCTGATGGCCTGACCTCTCTCCTTTGCATCCATTAAGTGTACCTGTCCATTGTACTATTATTCCTTCAACTTCTAACCCTTGCTGGTAGTTCAGAAGGATAATATAGTCCACAGTATCAAAAGCCATGGAGATCTCTACATGAACAAGGATAATTATGCTTCTTCCACAGGAGATTCATAGAGCAACTAATGAGGTTTTTACTCCATGCCAGTCTAGATAGGCAACTGCTGTCCCTCAGAAGGAAAGATTGGAGATAGATTTGTAGTTGTCCATTACTTGTCTAAGACTTACTTTCTGAGGACTGGGAGTACCTTTTAAAAGCTACTGGAGTCTCTCCTTCCCTCAAAGTAATACTAACCTTCTTCCAGATCCTATTTCCTTCTTATCCATCATAACGAGGAGGATGAAGCAGGGGTCCAACGTACAGGTGTTAGAGCTATTACCACAAAGAGCTTTGTGTGCTTTCTTGTCAAAAACCTCCCAGATAACATCCCAAGACATCGCCTCTGTCTTAACAGATTTCATTCATCTGGCAATGCAAATGATTTATCCATGGGAGGCTCAACCAGACAATCACAAGTTACACTAATTGAGTCATTTGGCCTGTCTTCAAAAAGGGGCTCTAAACAGTCCAATTGGCTGACATTCTACCGATGCAACAATGGCAGTGGAATAACATCACTACCACAATGTAAACTCAGATTTGAGGTTCGTTGATCGTGCTCATTTCATCCAGCATCCACTCCAAGCAAGTCTTCACCTGTTTCATTTCCTGTGCCTCCACCAAAAATTAAGAATTCCTTGGGAGAGGCCTGCAGGAAGGCATTATTCAATTATTATTCTATACAGGATCCTTTTTCTAGCCTCCTACATATTTCAGAGTAAAAGCCTAGTAAAAACCCTCAAAAAGCTGCCCTGCAATTCCCTGAGCACCGTTTGAAAGTCCTCCATGTCTATCAAATAACTTAGGTGACCACCTTAGTCAGCCTGCAAAAGTTAATGGGTCCAATTAACTGTCATCCATATATGGCTAATAATTAATGGGGAAAAAAAATCCTTCAGCACCAGGTCACATTTCAGCTGCTAAGAGAGAAAGGCCAAATTTAATCCAGCTATGTGAGTTAGGATTCAGAAGAAGCATATTATTGCCATGGAAACCCTGCATACTTGAACTGGCTCTAATCCCAGAGAATGGAAGTTTAAATCATTCCAAAACCAACAGACTGGATAATCCCATAGTTGCCCTAGCAATCAGATTATGCACCTCAGGAATGGAGTACACTATGCAGCTGAGAACACGGGAGGACCTTCAGATTGTGCCTTTGGCTCAACCTCATATATCTTTACACATGGTTACCTGTGGGACCATGTCCTTTGCAGTGATCAGGGTCTCCCAATTCAGAATTGCCACTTTTCCTTTCATATTGGAAGGTGGAAACTGATGCCATGGGCAAAACCTTACTGAGCAGATCTCAATGAGGGGAAGTTATTTTAGTTTTGCCTGCAACTTTCTCAACTAGATCTCCCTGTGTGTTGTGGTCCGTCAGCTGCCAGCAGAGCTAGCAGCTGAGTCAGATGAGGAAGAGGTTGAGGGGGGAAGCTTGGGCTGGCTTTGGACCTTTGGAAGACTCTGATGAGGAAGCAGAATCAGAGGCAGATGCAGAGCCGGGGCCTTCCATCCTCCCCCAGGTGGAGAGACAGCTGTCTTCAGGGCCTGAGCTGAATGAGGGAGAGGAACAGATGGGGCCCATCCCAGATGCATGTATGCATAGAGAGGAAAGGAGAGGTGAACAACGGAAAGCAATAAGCCAGCTTTCAGGGGAAAGAAGATATAGATGCTAGCCAGCCCTTCCCTGGCTGGGAAATAAATAGTGTACATCAATCATGTCAGATTCCTCTGTCAGAACCAGGTTTGTCGGGACTAATTGCTCTGTATTTGAGGTGCCAATGGAATTTCCCTGCTGGGAAATAATAGGGAGTGAATTTGCCTCAGCTGATGTGAACAGAGACTGTTCTTGCCCTGTTTTTAGAAGGGGAAAAAACTTTTGTGACTCATTACAGCAGCAAGAATTGTATTTGCACAAAATTGGAAGACAGAAAAAAATCTGTCAGAAGGTGAAGTAATGAAAAAGATTTTACACTGTGTGGAAATGAATAGTTTAATTTTAAGATTAAGAGATAAAGAGGAATCAGTGTATTTCAAGGCATGGGGAAGATTTTATATATGGTTAGAAAAGAAATATGAAGATAAGAGGATAGATAAATGATTTAGATAATAGAAAGTTAAACGAGAGAGAGGATAAAAAAGAAATAGAAACCCAAATGATACCAGAGTAAATGAAAAAGGGGGATGAGAGGGAGGGGGGGAAGAAAGAAGATTATAAGAATAAATGTATAATTATGATGATAATACTGATAGATAGAATAAATCTGAAAAGAAACTGAAAGAAAGTATATATGATTAGAATACAGGAGTTGCTCAGATACCAAACAAGGAGAATATTCCACAGCAAAGAAGATAGAAAGGAGAGAGGAGGAGAGGGTAGGAAGAGGAGAGGGAGGGAGAGGAATGGAAGAAAGGGAAAAGGAGAGGAAGGAAGGGTAGGGGACAGGAGTAGGAGAGAAGGTGAGAAGGGGGAAAAGAAGAGAGGAGAGGAGTGGGGGAAAGGAAGGGGAAGTAGGATGAGGTAGGAGAGGAGGAAGGAGAAAGGAGGAGAGGAGAGGAGGGAGGGAAGGGAAAGAAAGGAGGAGGAGAAGAAGGTTTGTTGCGAAATGAGGGAAGAAAGGGGTAGAAGAGCAACTCTGAATGTAATTAAAATGCCTTATTTTAATGCTTTCTTTAAGAAAAACATGTATCTGTATGATTAATTATGTATAAGAAAATGTCCATTTTATATTATGTGTATAAGAAATAAAACTGAAAAAAACTTTTCAAAAAAAAACTTTTGGTTTTGTTTATCCAATGTGAACAAAGACTGTTCCTGCTCTGACTTAAATAGAAAAGGGTTTGTGTTACTTGTGAGTAAGCGGTTTCTCATTGCTTGTGAAGGCTGGATCAGAACACTGTGCTAGAGATATTACGAAAGCTGTCATGCCGTCTATTTTATCCAGTTTGGGAATATGAATGCCCATGCCACCCAACCCATCCTTGTTACTTCCCTATCCCTCCCCCCACCCCCAAATGTTTCTGTTTTTCTGCTTCATTCTCAGGAAACTTTAAAACCTCTTTAAAATTTATTTTGGTTTATTTTTGAATCACCTTCCTTGATGGTGGGATCACTATTTCCCCAGCTCTCAGCAAACTGATTGGCAGCTTCCACCTTCTAATTTAGAAATACCTTCAGAAAAGATTCAAAGGTGCACATGTTTCAAGAATACAGGCAGTCACATTTCTTGCTCGCCATGTTGTCCAGGAGAAAGCAAACAGCTAGAGGGGGAAAAAATGTAGGAAAACAAGTTGTGGACATAAATTGCCTGAGTTGTCGATCACATTACAAAAGAGCATCATTCAAGCAGGAACTGCCCCTAGTCTAGCGAGAAATGCAAGGTTGTCACGGAAACAGCAGCATTTTCCTTAGAGAAAACAAGGAAATGTCTTGACAACAAGCAAAGCATAATTAAAAAAGCTTAAACAACATTAAAATTATAAATGTCCCACTAAAGCTCTTAGGCTTTAATTCCAAAACAAGCCAGTAACAAACAAATAGCAGTTGAACAATAATAATACTGAAGAATTCCTAGCATTCTTCCTACTCTGGTTGTGAGTGACGGATTTTAGACTAACTCAGAATCTTGAGAAACATTGTCCCTAGCAAAAACAAATCACGGTAAACCTCAGAATACCTAAATGCCTCAAACTAATTGTGCTTTGGGGACAAAAGCAGTAGAAAGAGAAAGTTTTAAGAAAAGTTTTAAGGACAGGCTTTAAAAGTTGAAAATAATTAGGTGATTTAGTACTATTTTGTAGAGATTAAATAGCAACCAAGACTTCTCAAAATTAAATTCTGTGAGTGAAATGGGGGGGGAAGTGAACCGAAATGTGATAAATAAATAAAATCAAATCTCACATTTATCATTGTCATACTTAATAATTGTTTTATGAATGACCACTATCTTTAGGCCTCACCCTAGCCTGTGCTTCCTGCACTTCAACTTTTATTGATTTCAAAATAACTGTTAAGAGTTTGTAGCTCCACAAGGTATTTTTTTTTTTGTTTCATTCTTTCACTTCTAAAATGCAGCATTATTCCTTGAAAGTGATAGCCAGAAGGGCCAAAAAACAAAGCACTCTTCTGTACAATTTTCAGCTTGTAAAATTTAGTCAACTCACAGCCACAACGGGCAGCAGTAATTTTAAGAAGGGTACAAAAATAACAATAATCATGAAATAAGGACTCAGCTCTTACCTGGAAGGAATCAGCTCTGCTTATTCTGCTAAAGAGTACATTATGAACCATCCTGTGAAAATCAGGATGAAAATCAGAGAAACAATTTAGAGGATAGAATCGATACTTGGCATTATTTTAATTAACAACCAGAGGGCACTTGATCCTGTCTTCAGTCAATTTAGAAGACATTATATGGTGATGAAGTGGGATTTTATGATATTATCTGTTCATTTCCACCTGTTTATCTCTCATAGAAGATTTATTTAAAGGACGATGGAAGCACGTTTGCTGGATTCTAATACTGCTACCAGGCACCGAGAATCCCTACATGGGTGGCATGAACACCTCAGGATCAGAAGAAAGTTTTCCATTTATCTTAAGCCCAGGCCATCTTAAGCTTATTTAAACCTCCTAAATGAAAGCATTGATAAATGGAAGAAGATAGTTAGATTCATCACGGGTCCCAAATTGCTTCTGCAGTTTCCATTCATTAAAATTGCTTTTAATTTCTCTCTGCACACCTCCCACACCCTGAAAAATTATACTCACTGGTGAAGTACAGGGTTTTTACACTTCTTTTCATTATGAGGGATCCAAATCATACCTTATTCTGTATTATTATTTCTCCAGTAATCAATAATCTTCCTAGCTGCACACCCTTCCATTAAACCTCAAAGGAATCCTCTTCGGAATGTTTCCAGATCAAAATGCCTCAATTTGTGACTTCTTGTTTTATTGTTGGACCATATCTAAATGTACCATTTGTGACCCAGGAGTAAAGATGGCAGGCTCCTTATCTTGACCATCTACATGGGCAATGGGAAGGGACGATATAAATACAGCAAAAAGCTTTTGCATGGTGGAAATAGGAGTCCTAATTTCATTTGTCAAGAACAAACTATTTAGCTAGATCGTTTACTAAATGTTTTGTTAAGAACCATTCACTGCAAATTTCTCCATTAATAAGATAGGCAGAAGTGAGGTAGGCAAAATTCAAATGGAAAGGAAGCAAAATTGACCATTTGAATTTCCTAACTCCAGCTGGTTGTCTTTCCTATCTGGATTACCTGGGAATGTTAACATCAATCTTGCAAATCTGAAAGTACCAGCCTCCTGCTTCTCTTTTACCAAGCAATAAGTTAAGGAGGTTCCTTTCTGAGTTTCTTTCACTACCCATTATGCAGCTGAAGGATATACCGACTCTTATCTGATGGTTCTGTAGGCAGCATTTCTTCCCCTAGCCCTGTGATGGCGAACATATTGCACGTGGAACATATGTGCCCGAAGTGGCACGTGGAGCCATGTTGCCTTGCACATGTGGCGTCACCCGTTCCTCTTCCTGGTTTCTGCCATGCACGCGCACATGACGATCTGGCCTCTGTGCATGCAGCAGTGCCGGAAACT